CAGCCCTGACTGAAGGAAACAAAAGTGATCACACAGAGAAGCAGCAGAAAATACTTGTTCTAAAGCACAGTGCCACTCTGTACACAGAAATTCCTTCTGCCCTTTCATCTGCAAGGTGGAAAGGAATGACAAACACAAACAAGTGCCAAGATAGTTTACAATCCTTTTGCAGTGTTTCAGAAAACATCTCCAGCTAACGTTTGTCTCAGTAAGCCACAGTCCCAGGAGTTACAGAGCAAGCACTGCCCAGTAGCCAGGCAGCAATGCCCTGTGCTGTTATCCCACTGCATACCACAAACAGGAATCCTCAGAGCCGTGGGGAAGTTTTCCAGTGAATCTCTCCTATTCCATCTGATCTTAGTGCACATACTCCAAACACTGCATTACCAGAGAGGGGGGTTCACTGCAAGTTCTCAGACGTGTTGTACACAGCTTCCTCCCAGCTGGAACTGCACTGAGCAGAGGAGAGGAAATGACTTCAGGCACGTTCCTCTGCCCCCGCGTGTCTCCGACCCAGGGGTGACACAGGTGACACCACGTAAGCCCAGCCTTCCAGGTCACTGTCGGCACCTCTGACATGGTGTTTAGTTCTTCAGGGGAATGCTTTTGGGAATTATTTTTTATTAAGTGTCCTTTATATGTCGTTAAGGTTTCTCGTTGTGTTTCACATTATACTGTTGTATATTAAAATATCTTTAATTTTGTTATAGGACACTTGAAATATAATTTGTTGTATTTATTTTGGCAATGGGTCAAAGATAAGCTAGTAAGGGGACCTGTTGATGGTTCCACACACACCAGGTGTTCTCAGGAGTCCTGGTGGGTATCCCTTGGCTCACCCAGCAGCGGCACCTCGGGCTCAGCCTCGGGGATCACGTGCAAGAGAAAAAATAGAAGCTTGTATGCTGGTGTATTTATGATCAAGTGAAAGCCTCCTTAAGAAAGTGTCACTTTTGTTTTTATGACATTTGTTATTTGTGCTATTGCTAACATATTCCACTCGTGCAGTCTAGGGAAATACTGATTTATTATAAACCAAAAGAACTATCAGAGCATGTAGCTCAGCTTACAGACAGGAGACTGCTGCCTCCTGAGCACAGGGAATAGGGCATGATGTGCAGAAATGGCTACAATTCACAGTGCAATTCAGGGAATGTTAAAAAGAAAATATTAATTATATGTAATTATTCTCATTGGAATTCTATAATAGTATATTTTCCTGGCTTTACATGAGGGCCTCATACCTTCTATTTTTGTAGAGTACTTAGTTCATTTTAGGTATTAGTGTGAGCAAGTAAAAGTATTTTAACTAAAGAGTACTATAATCATACTTATCAAATTAATTTCTACACTAAAAACTGTTAAAATCCCTTAATTATAAGTGCCTTGGATACTGTCTATATGTTTGCCAGTGCCAGATTTTTTTAATTTTACCAGAATCAAATCAAGACAACATTAGCACTGATATAAGAAACATTGAGTAGATTCAGATTGGTCAATAACCACTTAATTCTGTAGATTTGAGATACTTTATGCTGCTGAAAATGTAATCTTCGTTGTTTTTCATGGGTATATTCTGGGACATCCATGGTAAAAGCCTCGGGTCTCCTTCAGGAAGGACACGTGGACACACCACAGAGCTGAATGGGAAACCCGGAGTTTTAAACTGAGAAATGTAATTTGTTCTGTTTCACAAAAGTGCTTTAGAGGTTTTGTTCTCGTGTAGTCATCTAATTTAATTGTTATTCTTTGCCTTGTTCCATGCTAATTTCTAAATATTCTGAGGTGATATATGTGGTCCTGTAGAGTTACACGTGTATTTAATGTAACATATGTAAGACAGTGCATGGTCTTACATTGATACAGTTACATAACTTGGCTATTCAGAGGCAAGTTTATACATTACTATTTGCTAATAGGATTGTGAATAAAAAACTGAAAAAAATATCTTTAATTGCCTGCTTTTTTGTGCTTTATGGCACAGAAAATGAGTGTCAGTCAGCGCCGAGGGCCCGCCCCAGGCACCGGCTCATGGTGGGTTTAAAAATAACTTCGAAGTGTGGCAATGGGTTCGTGCCCTTCTTCCTTCCCTGAGGATGAACAAAGCTGTAAGAGCAGAAGAGGGAAGCTGGCACTGTTTACATTCTCCCTTGGAATTGCCCAGACCAAAGGAAGAGCCGCAGTTTTGTAAAGCCCAGCCCTGTGATGTACCATTACAGCAGGGAAAACACCCCACAGACAAAAAGACCCCACCAAAACCCCCAAAACAACAAGAACAAAAAAACACCTACATACAAAAAAACCCAGAAAACAAAACCCAGAATATTTTCTACTTACCTAATCTATAAAGAATTGAACACTTAAAGGCATTATAAAATAGTAGCTGCTTATGTTAAGGGACTCTTGATTGTATTTCTTTAATTTCATGTTACTGTATAAGAATTGGGTTGATTATAGCTCAGTCACCTTATTTCATTTTTCACAACGAATAATCAAATTAGTGGAAAAAGACAAGTTTTACTTTTCATAAGGGGCCCAGTGAAAAGATGATTAAATACAGCACATCAGGCTTTAACCAATAGGACTTTATTCTGTTGGTATCTCAACAAAGAAAAAAACAAACCTGAGGTACAGTACAGACATGTGGCTAAAAAAAAAATATCTTCAAACCATGGTTTGATTTACTGATGTTGGTAAAATAACCAAGTTTGAGACCATTGTAAAGCAGAAGACATATGCATTCCACTACTCCTTTTCATCTTCAGGAAAGCACAGAGACTTCCACTTAGCCAAGCATGTTATTTTCAGGAAGATCGCACCGTTTTGCTGCTACCAGCAGGGCTGGCTAACACACTACCAGCTAACCCGAGAACTCCACCAGCCCTTCCCCTCACTGGGAACAAAGTTCTGGCCTTTGAGGGCACAGAGTATTTGTCCCTTTGCACAAAGGAGTTCACACCTCACACCTTTGACAGTCTCCTCCTGTTCCTGCTCAAATGCTTGAAGTCTGACCACTGTATATCCAATCAAATTTGATCCTTAAACCAGAAAAGCAGGGTATAATTCCTACAGCATCAAGGAGTAGTATCAGGCACAGTACTTTACCATGCTCTTTACCTTAAATTTAAGGGAATGTCAATTAAGGCTGATTATCAACATTTTGTAGCCTCCCAGTAATAGCTTTAGAGTGCTCATAAAATTGGATAATTGTTTCCCATGTTCAGTTTCGATAAAATCAGTTCTCATCCAGCTCAAGAACCATTGCAAATCAGGGACAGGGATCTCTTGCTACAGCTGGAGCACTCCCTCGTGCATCACTGCTCGTTCTGCTGCCCCTCTGTCACCGCAGACACCCCTCCTTGGCCCTTGTTCACGTCGCTGATACACGCCCACAGTCCGTCCACCGACTCCTTCCACAGCGTCACCTCGAAAACAGAGCAGGCACAGCTTTCAGCCTTAACACTCCCTCAGCTTCCCCTTTCCCCACAGCTACCACAGCACTGGTGAATTCTACTGTCAGTACCCCAGGAAATCAAGTTCAGCCTTCATTTCTGCTTTCCAGTAAGGACTCAGAATGCAGGCAAATAGTTTGCCAGAGGTTACGGTCTTCCTGCCCTCGTGATAGTTCAAAAACAGTCACCACTGCAGCAAAGACAACTCCACGACAGCCTTGCCTCAAACAAGTGACAACAGCCTGTCCCTGCTCCTCTGGAAACAGGGCACGTGCAGTCAGAGTCAAGGCAGCAGTACTCACTTTGTTGTCTCCTCCAGACACTGCGAGGATATTGGCAGTGATGGACCAGCTCACGTGCCAGACAACATCATTGAACTTGTGCAGCAGCTTTGGTGACCAGGAGTTTCCAGAGGCATCGTCACACGTCCAGATGAACACTCTGCCATCCTGCAAAAGCACGGAGGCCGAGTTGGCCAGACACAGGAAACACCACCCTGATTGCTCTTGGAGCTCCACTCCCAAATCACAGCTCTGATGCCACCCTTCCATGTGTCTGCGTGGATTTGTGCTCAGCACACAAAGGGGCTGTTTCCTTGCTATAGTAAAGGCAAAGCAGTACAGCTCTGATGAGAAAAACTACCTACAGTGATTTGCAAATACCAGAGAAGAGCTCCCAAAATACTATCAGCTGAAATATTTCCCCAGAATGAGATTTTGTTTTCCAGTCACATGGCAGCAGCTCACTAAGCAGTCTTCATGACAATAGAAAAAGCATTTATAAAATTATTAGCAGCAAGAACACCACAGTTAATATGAAGGCTGAGGACATCAGAGCTGACTACGAATGCCAATTATTAGAAAACAGTATTTTTAGCTGGAGGTTCAGTGAATTTGGTCCAAAACACTAAAATATGGCATTAGTTTGAAGGTCTTCCTGCTATTGACACCATCCTGCTCATGATGTTCAAAATAGCAGCCAGTCTTTGGTACAGACACACATGCACAAACCTTTGTCCACAAATGCTTCTACTGAGCTTCTGAGTTTGGAAGGAACAGGATTCAAAGGCTCTTGTGCACTGACCCAGACACAGCAAAGGACTGCCAGAAGGACCTGTTACAGCAGCTCTGACCTTACTATTGCTCTCCTAGGGGAGTGGGAAGGAAGTGTGTGGCAGTGAGGGCACTGAGAGCCTGCCTATCGCTCCAGCCTCACCTGGGAGCAGCTGGCAATGGTGCTGGTTGGCAAACCTATGGATGGAGCCCAGGCCACGTCTCGCACCCAGTCACTGTGAGCCTCCAGCTTCTGCTCCTCTTTCCACTGACTGTCTTCTTCCCTGAAAACACAATTATACAGTCAGAAGGGTGGCAGCAGCATTTCTCATCCCCTGCTCTGGAAGGCTTTGGCTTTGTAGCCAGACTCCTGGTTCATCCAGATAATACAAAGCACAGGTGTTCCCCAGTTCTCCAAACATCTCTATGGCTTTAAGTGACAAAACTCCTTGCAGGGGGCAGAAAGCACAGGCAGAGTTTTTGTTCTCATCTTCAGTTACTGTCAGAAATCTGCTACTGCCCAAGTCACAGTGGTAACCAAAGACCATTAGAAAGCCACTCTCCGAGACAAGATGACACAGGGCTGGCACAGACTGTACAAACCATGGGAGATACTGTGCATCACTAAGTTGTTTCCTTTTCTAAAGCACTTCCTAAAAATGGGAATTCAAAGAGGGAAGCACAGACATGCTGAAAGTATTACCTGAGATACTAACAGGGACATTCAAAGCCTAGAAAGAGTGCCAGGTTTTATTTGGTAACAGGGCACTTACTTCCAGATCTTGACCAGGTTGTCGCAGCCCCCCGATGCAAATCTTTTGACATAGTTTGGCTTTTGACCAGAGGGTTGTTCTATAAGGCTCCCTGGTACAACAGCAGGAGCCCAGCTGACTGCATTACATCCAATCTAGGTAATGAAAAACATTACTATTAAAAGTTGCTTACTTTACACAAATAAAGGAATAAAGGCTGCTGATGGGGTGAAGGAAACACAGCATAGTGTCTGTGGGAGGTGGGGAATAAGCCCATCTCAGAAAATGGGGAGTCCTGCACAATGCTGGATGGACATCAGATGAATAAGAAATCCAGACACAGTCTAGTCTCACTAAGGCACTTACTCAGAAAGCCTGAGGTAGGTAAGGAACTGCTTTATGGGGAAATATCATCCTAGGTGTGTGAACAGTGGAGACAGAGATAGGAACTGCACAGGCACAAGGTACACGCAGTTGCTAAGGTTTTGGAATGCAGGAGTAGAAGGAAGCTTTGGTCTGGAGCCCAATTTCCTTCCACTGAGAGCCACACCGTTAGCTTATGAAGTTTTGCTTAAGCAAAAATCCCCACTGTTTTGGGAAAAACACGTGCCCTGCAATTTTTCTGGCTTCAGTTTATTCAGTTAGTTGGTGCAGGTATTCTTAGGACCAAGGCCATTTCCTGCCAGTTAACTTTCAGCACTGTGTTTAACAATAATCCTCAATTAACAAGCATTACCAGTGCTGTTTAGTAGCCTTCGCCTGTCTTTTTTTCACTTCATTTTAGTTACTACAAAGTGTACCTGCCCACTCGGGATGAACTCAAACAAGTTATTCTTGGTTCTTGATGTTTCACACCACTTCACTG